CAAACAACCCCTTGGTATTTCTTTTACACAAGAAAAGACAAAGAATAGAAAGAATTATTCTTTCTTTTTCTCTTTCTTTTCTCAAAAACTTTTCTGTACACCCGGTTTACACTAAAATATTAGTGTACAACAAAGAGTATATGGGTAACTTTTGGCCAATTTAGGGTAACTTTTTACCTTTTTTTGGGTAACTTTGAACCTGATATAATTTTTATGTAAATAGATAACAAGAAAAGTTTTATAAGGGTAATATAATTACTTTCAATCACTAATATTTAATTTTTAGTCATTTAAAATGTGATTCTTTACAAATAAAGCATACATAACTTATATTTGTATTGGGTTATTTTTATACATATTAGGGTAACTTTTATTTATTTAGGGGGTAACTTTTGATCACTTTAGGGCAGCTTTTATAACAGATGTACAATAATTATTGTACACCCGATTTCTTATAAAGTTTGTGTTCTTTTTTCAAGGCTACCCTCTTGGCAATATCTTGGCAATGTTAGGTGAGCTCTTTGTTAAATGGGCCCAAGTGTATTCCCATAAGGTCAAATGAAGCTGTAATACTCCGTATTTTTATAATATTTTTATATAAAAATTATTTATTTTATTTATATTTATAAATTAAAATGATTCATTTCATTTTAAAAGAAACTAATTATTTAAATATTATGTAAGTGTGCATAAAATAATATGAGTCATTAGTTCAGTCAATAAAAATGTTTTGAATTGGGTTATTTTTATTTGAATGATTGGATCAACATGTTGGGAAATTAAGGGCACTTAAGAGCCCAATAAGTTGGCCCCAAAGGAAGAAGTCGAGGGGGAGTAGGATTTAATAATGGCAGTTTTTTAATTATGTGTTTTTGTTTTAAAAGATGAGTATAAATAATTCAAAACCTTAAAAAATTTCACTCAAAAATCATTATTGTCATATTTCACAAAAATTTCAAAAGTTTTCTCTTTATTTTCTCTCTCCTTTTTCTCCTTATTTTTCCTCCCTTTTTCCTCTTCTTTTTCTCTCTTCTCCAACACCTCTCTCTCCTCTTCCCCCTCACGCACGTTGGCAGCCACCGGCGCCACCACCAGCCATCAGCGACCACCGGCGGCCAGCAGTAGCAACCGGCGACCACCGCCAGCCACCTCCTTCTCTCTCCTTTTGTTTTTGGTTCGGTATTATTATTATTATTATTATTATTATTATTATTATAAAAAAAAAAACTCTTTTTCTTTTCCTAATTTAATTCTAGTTGTTTTTATTAATTTAAAGCATGATTTTGATTATGTTTTGGTATTGATTTTGGGTATTTGATGTTGTTAAATTATTTATATAATTTTCAAATTTTTATTCAATCAAAAACCCCAATTTACAAATCCTAAAAATTGGGAATTTATGGTTTATGGTTAGGGTTTGATCCTAGGTTGTGTTTGTTGTTTAATTAATGGTTTAAAGCACTCAAATTAATGCTGGAATTTATTTATGCACACTACCTTTTAATTATTGAGTTAGGGTTTTATTACCCATAAAAGAAAAAAAAAGTTTTAATGATTTAAATATGATTTCTTGGTCTATTGGTGATGTTTTATATTAGATAACTATGTTGGAATTTTATTTAAGTCATCAAAATTAAGTCTTTTTGAAAGGATTTAAAGTACCTACTTAAAGAAAAGGGTTTTTTTTATGGCTTTTATGTCATTATATTGGGCTAATTAGTAAGGTTTAAAGTGTATTATAGTTTCTGGAAATTTGTGACAATAGTATATTAATTATAGTTATGTATTCTTATCAGTAGGAAGCTTTAAGCCAGGTGATTTCTAGCGAGTGTGGCCAAGTTTAGGCGTTTTTTCAAGATACGTATATGCACAAGAATATTTGTGTATGCGTAGTATCATGCTAGGATTGTAAAGTACGATTTAAGTGATGAGTTAGTAGCCTGTTTGGTTGATTATATGCTTGGAATTGATGTTGGTTGAGCATGAATTGTTGTGCAAGCATGTGAATATGTTATTTTAGGCATGATACAAGTTGAATACGTATGAATCATGGAAGTATGTTTTATTTTCAAGTATCAAGAAAACATGTATTTAATAAGCAAGGCTTATATATGAATTAAAGAGCTAAAGTTAGAATTATTGAGCATGATTCATGAATTTATTTCTTACCCATTTATTATTGGTGTTGAGTCAAGAAGGTAAATTATTTATTTACTCACTCATGTAAGTTGAGTTCGAGTCAAGGATGTTTAGCAGTGCGTTTTATGCACCAAGGTAGTAATCGTGCAATTTTGTGCACAAAAATAGGCAAGGAACCTTAATTAAAATAAATAGTATGTGCTCACTAATTAATTAAAGAATGAATTGGAAGTTTGTATTTAATGTTGTTATGTTTATTCTTGATTATTGGTTGGAGTCATCACATGTTAAATTGGTAAATCACGTAAAGTGTAAGAGGATACGCACCAAAACTCTTGGAACGTATATACCTTGAGTATGAACATATGGGGGGAGTTATGGGGTTTTATATTTAACCATAGCTTCTACAGGGGTACAGGACGCTATAATTTCTTTTATTATTAATGCGCTGGAATTCCGTCACAAGTGTGACATAGTAGGTGCCAATTGGGGTAGCTCCCTGATTGGAAGCTCAATATTTAAATGAGCTATTTTCAAGGAAGGAAACCCGTTCGATGCGTAATCCAAAATTATTATTTAATAATTAATATTGCTAGTTATGAGTCAAAGGTAAGTTGACTTGTAATCGTATGGCGAGCATGTTTTAAATATTTTATTTTGATGCTAGGATATTCATGTTAGTGTGGTGCATATGTACTTAACTTTGCTTATTCGTACTTTTGTGTTTGTGTTTGGTTTCCTTTGGATTGGCCCTAATATGAACCATTTATATGGTGGGTAGAGGGTTGAATAAAGAGGAAGTAACAGGTACTTGAAGCATGAAGAGCATGATGGGATAGAGTGTAGAGAGTTACTTGTTATGTTTCTTAGTTTTGATATTTTTGAATTATTGATTTGTTTATGGACTAACATTATTGTGTTTTTTTTAGTGGTTTTAAGAAGGGTCATGTTTGAATTGGTTTCAACTTGCATGTGAATGTTTTATTTTACATTTGTTTTGAGGTTGTGAACTCAAGTTTTAATTTTAAAAGTTGGTTTTTTTTTAGATTTTCGCTGTGTGACTTTGAAAATTAGCCTTAGCCGTTATCACCGGTGGCAGTAATATTTTGGTTATTTCCTAAAAAGGGTTTTATTTAGAGTACAATAAAAAGAAGGAAATTTTCAGGGTACTACAGAAGCTCACTTACAAGTTAGTAAGTATTTAATCATCATCATTTTTCCTTCAATCCCAGTCAAAGGCCAAAACAAGTCATACTCTCGGCTATGCATAAGTCGTAACTCTCGATATATCATCAAGATTTGACATGCTCTCCGCCGTCAACAAGTTATTATTTATTATCATGCTTACCTCTCGGACTATTTTTACAATAACTTAGCTCCTACAGCTAAAATATCTCTTATGCATTGCTTGGGGTTGGCCTTTACCATTGCAAGTCGCTTAGGGCTTGTTTTAGCTCCCGAGTAATCAAAAGCCATTCTAGCTCAATGACGAGCCCTCAGCATCAATTACGCTTATTCCGCATGATACCCGAACTTCATATGATCTCGTTCACGCATCACACGTCGGGCTTAATGTTTGGGCCTAGTCCATGTCCTAAGCCCAGTGTACCTAAAATGACGAAAATACCCCTCCATGGTCCAGCCCATCATTAATCATTACAAAGTACGGATTTGCCCCTAATATGTCCACACAAGTACAGGTTTGCCACCTGAAAAGTACAACTATAAATAGCTCATCATTCATTAATGATGGGGACTTTTTTCTAATTCCCTCTCCTTATCTCTCTACTTTCTCTCTCTCTCTACTTTCTCTCTCTAGAAAGTACATTTGCTGACTTAAGCATCGGAGGGGTTTTTCCCGGGTCACACCCCCGGGGCAGCTAACCTTCTCTGTTTTGCAAGTCGAGCCCTCGGACATACCTTTACAAGGCGGAGCTAAGGGACAATTGGACTTGGATTATAGGACATCTTGATACCTTACCCTAACACTCCCAAGAGAATTCTGTTTCCAGAAACGGGAGGTTTTTGTGGTGGGGATTTTAGGGGTAGTTTGGGTGTTTTTGAGGCTAGCGGTTGAGTTTTGAGGGCTAGGTGGGATTTTTCGGGCTGGAGGTGGAGGTTTTCGGGACTAGGGGTTAAATATCGGGGCTGTGTGGTGTTTTTCGTGGATAGTGGTGTTTTTCGTGGCTTGGGATGGTGTTTTTAAGGGATGGGTGGTGTTTTTTCGTGGCTTGTGGTTGAGTTTTTCTAGGTTGGATGGTTTTTTTCGGGGTTGCGTGGGGTTTTTCAGGGTAGTTAAAGGGTTTTTCGATGTGGCTAGCGAGTTTCGTGGTGGTTGGGGGTGAGGGTGGGCATGGCAGGGTTGCAGTTTTGGTGGTGGTATGGTGGTGGTTTGGTGGCCCAAGGAGAGATTTAGAAAAAAAAATTAACAGGTTGTAGGTAAAAGGGATTGTTAATGGAAGATGGGGGTCAAAGGTGAGATTGTTTCTGGAATTTCAAAAGGTGGGATTGTTTCTGGAAGACACACTAAAGGTGGGATTATTAGTTTTCATTTTTCCTTTTTAATATACTAAATGATAATTTTTTAAACATTCTCATAAACTAAATATTCATTTTTTATTACTGAATGTTTATTTTTTATTTTACGTGTTCATATTTTTTTTCACTAAATGTTCATTTTATAGGCCGTGGTGATAACTGCACCAGAGTGTAGCTAAGACCTATTGTGGTATATCTTCACTGAGGCTAACAAGAATGAATACTTACGTTGTAGCTCCTAATATCATGACTCAAAAACATTTTATAGGGATGATTGTGGCCATTTTCCATTTTATGGTCTAGATCGAAACCAAATCGGATGATTTAGCCCCAATGATGGTGACATGTCAATGGTTCACCTTTATTTTATTTTAGGTAATAAGTTTGGAAAAGAGAATTATCCGGTGTTACAACAACCCTCGCAAACTACAATTCAAGCAAACCTACGATAAATTCAAGCAAATAATCCACAATCAATAATAATAATTAAATCACCCTTAAATATGATCCACAATTTAACAAGTAATCCACCCAAGTATGATGGTGGTTGGGGCGCAACTTAACCTAAGGCTTTGCCTTTAAGCTACTTTCTTCTTGGGCCTTGGCTCTTGAGCTCTTGACTTTAGGCCTCGGTTCTTTGATTCATGGCTTTCGGCTCTCTTCACTTGGGCTTGCAATGCTAAGCCATCACTCAATGAACCAAGCTCTTAATCATTGAGCTCCATTTCTCTTGCTTGACCTTGGCTTCAAATTCTCTCGGGTTCGATATTCGGGTTTCAAACCTTGATTGGTCTTAAAATGCGATCCAATCTCCAATATCTACGTAGTGGTCCAATATTTGTTCAAAAAATTGCCGCGAAAATCGTAGATTCCTACAAAATAATACCAACACTACGAAAACACTAGAGAATACATATTAGTAGTAAAAATAACTCCAAAGAACACAAATATGACCGTGAGATAGCGGATATAATACTACTTCCTCCGTTTCCTAATGTTAGTCTCATATATGTATACCGATGCAAAACTTTAATCACAAATATCTTTAATTTCATACTAGCAAGCAAAAATTATAAAAATTAAATACTCCCTCCGTTTTTTTTATAGGCTAAAAATGAGATTGCACGAAGTTTTAGAAGCTTTAATAAAATAAGATGATAGTGAGGTAGATAAGGTTATTATTTTATTGAAAAGTAAAGTGGTGTGAGAGAGTGTGGAGACCGTTAGAGGAGTGAGAAATGATAAAGTAAGAAAGGTGAGGACATTAGTGGGTAAAGATATATTAGTTTCAAAAATGGAACTCTAACTTATAAAAAAAACGGAAGGAAATAGTAACTCTACCTTACAAAAAAAAAACGAACGGAGTATTAATAAAGTACTCATCGAGACGAGTAAAACTAACATTAGGAAACGGAAGGAGTATATAACACAGACACCCCACCTTCTCCTTCTTAGCCACATTACAAGCCATGACCTTCAGATGTTTTAACCCTAGTAGGCTAATATGGAGTATGCTTTCTAAAAGGTGATGAATGAAGGAAGCACTAGGAAAGGGGAAAAAAAAAGGCAAAAGTAAAAGAAAAGAGGGAAATGTAATCCCACTCAGGTTTGTTTCTTGAAAGACGGAAGCTAGATGGTTAATTTCTTACTATTGTGTTTAAAAAAGAAAAGAAAAGAAAATAAAATGAAATATAATAAAATTGTTGTATAATCGTTTAATGGAGTAGGTTTTGACCACCACATTCTAAATATCATAACTTAACCTTGAGTCTTCATTGATGGAGAAAGTTACTTTTCAAGCATATGGAGAGGATGGTTCGTGATGAGATTTCTGATCTATTCTCATTCCTTTTCTAGCTCCTACTTGAACGCTTGTGATGTCACTTTGTAGCCACAAGCAATTAATTGTGATGTCACTTAGACGCTTATGATTTGAGCTAGGGGGGAGGACATGGCTTGAATTTTGTACCAATCATGTTGAGTATCGCATAGGTTTGCTAGTTTGGAGTAAGTCTGCTAAATGCTCGTTCTTCGTCTTCCAGTTTATGCTCTATTTACTTGTTTTGGAAAAACTTTGAATCATTGCATGCATGACTTTAGAGGGAACCATACATCAAGCTTCTTTTGGTTACTTAAACTTTGATTGCTTGTGGACAAGCATGGCTAGTTAAGGGGAGCTTGATAACTGGAGTTTTGATCCACTTTATATGGTATTTTTACTTTGCTTTTGAAGCATTTTTTCCCCTTTATTTTACTCTGTTCTAACCTCCATTTCTTGTTTATCTTCACTATTCTAGTCTTATTCAGACTTGTATAATTTTGACCTATTTTTGGTGTTTTAGTGGTTCCCTTGAATTGGCTTCACCCTTTTTGCAAGTCTAACGATCAAAGGTAGTGGATTATCCAGGAAAGCTCAAAATTTGAAGATCTATCTTAACACCAGTAGAGAGGATTTTAGGTTTAGTCGATGATTATTGTGCTCCCCTTGCAGAATTGTTGGAGGCTTGGAGCCCTAATGGAGAGACCTCCCCAAGTGCATGTCACAATCTCTTCAACACCTTGGAGAGCCTCTCCTACATGTTAATGTCTCATACGAAATTGTAGACCTTAGAGGCTTAGACCTTATTATTGTAATTTTCATTTCTAATCTCTAATCAATTAAAATTGGTAATTGGCATAGAAACTTCCTTTGACCCTCTTTTGTGACTTATCCATAGAAAATTAGAGTCATGCGTAATCTCGTTAGATTCATCTCGATGTCTACTTTTCAAAAATCAAAACCTTGTAATTTTTACTTAAGTATAATATATATTAATGATCAAAGTATTGTATCGGCAAGCATGAAATGACAAATCATGCAATTACGAAAAAAAAAAACGGAGGAAGTAGTATTTAAACTCTCTTGGGTTCAACCGTTCATCCCGTTCTTACCCTTGCTACTAGTTAGTGAAACCGAGTTTAGTTATTACTTTATAGATGAGCACACTCTATCATAAGCAAGCATATGCTATTTATAGAAAGAAAGCAAAGTGTGTTGAATAAATAAGAACTTTATAAGGGAAGTGTATTAATTAAAAGGAACAATGAGAGTATTATATGTAATACCTTAAAATCGCGTGAATCTGTGTTTTTGTTTTTCTTTGTTGATCTTTCTTGCATGCGTCATAATAATTTCTTAATCTAAGTTTACTACAATAAATTTTGTTGCAACATACCACCAATTGCCGGAATGTGAATTTAGACCATTTTTCCGGTGTTAACCTAGCTTAATGAACCCTAATCCCCCCCCCCCCTTCTTTTCCTTTCATTGTCTCTTTCGATTTTCCTCTACTCCACCTCTGTTTCTCTTTCTTTCCAACTTAAGGAAATTAATTATCTACTAACCACCCCAATACACCACCGACCATCCCAATTCCACCACTGACCACCCCAATACCAATACACCATCACCGAACAACCCAAAACCACCAACCACAGGTCGCCCATCCATTCACCCGCCCCAGTAGCAAAACCCACCCATCCAACCCAATAGCAAAACTCACCCCAATCGATCGCGACGTAGCTACCTAAACCTATCCACCACCATCATCCCGAAAAATCATCCAAGAACAACTCACCACCATAAAACCAATCCACTTCCATTCAAAAACCCCATATCTAAGCAGCGATTCGATGAGGGAAAAAAGGGTGGCACTGATTGCACAAGTAAGAGAAGGGGCAGTGACTTGACAAGGGAGGGAAGGGAAACATAAAAGAAGAGGGAAATCGAAAGAGAAAATGTCATTAGGGGGAGAATTAGGATTCGTAATAAGGAAAATCTAAAGAGAAAATGTCATTAGGGGGAAATCGAAAGAGAAAATGTCACATGCGTAGCCGGAGAAAGTGGTCAACATCCACTTTTCGGCAGTTGGTAGTAAGTTGCAACAAAATTTTTTAAAATTGGTGGTCTATAACTTTTTAAAGGTGGTTTATGACAAAATTTCCTAAAACCTATAACAAAAGTCTATTATGAGGCAAAGTTAGTGTGTCCTTGTGAGTAAAAATGTTGTTAGACTTTAGACATTGAGTTTAGTGTTATCGTATACACATCAACTAAAGCAATAAAGCAAATTGGTGGCTTTTAACTTTGGCAAAGAGGAGATTTTCTAAATACTTCCTCCGTGATTTTTTAATTACATCACTTTGCAAATTACGGACTCCTAGACAATTTTTAGAGATGAGAGAAATAGAGAGAATAACAAATGGACCCATGCAATAGGAGAGATAAAGAGTATTTATTAACTAAAAAGAAAAGTGATGTAACTAATTTTAAACTTCCGTTTTAGGAAAGTGATGCAACTAAAAAGAAACGAAAAAAGTAAAAGTCTTTGTCTATTTTTCATAGTTCTTCGTTATTTTACGTCTAATTTCTGCATTTTCTAATGGTAACTACGTGACTTATTGAGGTTTAAAGTCAAGTTATAGACGAAGTTGGACATTAAATTTTATATTCCAAAAATCTCAAAAGACATAGATGATGCTAAAACGAAAATCTCAAAAGGGAAGGATATATTATCAAGCTTTTTTTTTTTTTTTTAATTAATGCATTCCGCCACTAACCACTAGATATAGTATTACAGAGTAGAAAGGGAGAGAGCACCATGGACCAAAAATATTCTTGTGAATGATACATCACCAATACACCATTTAGACACATCTTGACATATAAGGCCCTAACAATTTCATTTCAGTAAAAATAATTTTTAATCTGTAAAAAAATTTAATTAGTAAAAATCGGTAAATTGAAAAAACAAACATAATTGAGAATCAGTAAAAATAAGTTTTCATTGGTAAATAAATTTCAGGCAATTTAATTAATCGCATTTCAGCAAAAATAATTTCAGTTCAGTAAAAATAACAAAGTTTAACAAAAATAAGGTAAAGAGAATAGGGTCCAACTAAGAAAACTCAATTACCTAAACTACGAAAATCTCCCAACAAGAGAAAAGGAAAAAAGGGTGCACTACTTCACGAGTTTGGCAACATAATTATTTACCTTTAAAAAAATTAAAAATAAATAAATAAATAAATAAATAAAATTAAAAAAATAAAAAACAAAAGAAAAAAGAAAGATGTAACAGTCTTAATTGAGAGCTGATGAATCTGTTACATAAATTATGGCTTAAAAGATACATGTTCTTTCTTTGCAGATTCAACTTATAGGAAATTGAAATGAAGAACACAAGGGATAAGAGCAGATGATGATACTTCAAGAACTCAAGAAGTATGCAGTTTACTGTACTGTAGTTGTGCAAATCATTCGCCAAAGGCTGAGTCACTTACAAAATGAGGTTCCATTTGCTTTAAAAGGGTTGCTAAAATACATTTCAACTTTCTATATCAGGCCAACATATTCAATGAACTTTTCTGGGTTCAGGGCCCTGCAGATTTTGTTGGCACATTACACATTTTTTGTTGTGTGACAGAATGAACACACAAATTTTTTGTTGTAACCACAAAGGATTGTGTTATCAGTTTAGAATTTTTCGGAAATCTTAAGGGAGTGTCCAAACTATTTTTGCAAATAAGATTATTTTTTGCCATTTTGGCTATTAAAACTGGCAAGGGAAGCAAGGATAACATTCTCCATAAATATGAATTATTTTGTCTCTCAAATCTTTACTTCAATTTTGGCACAGAATGACCATATACATTTACACAGTAAAGAAAGAGTACAATGACATGTAGGTGAAAAAATGTGTGAGCATTTGAATCAGAAATTGGTCAAATTTTAGTTGGCTATTATTTGACAGTTACCATGATGAGTCTTGAAAGATGGAGATGGGCCATCAAAGCAAGGAGTAAAGAATTGAAGAGAAGGCTAGTGCCAGATGTGATGCTTAGTTTAAAGTACAATTTTGCGCTTTGGGTCACCGATTGGATCTTCAGATTCCACAAATAATGTCATTGAAATTTTGAAGGCAAAGTTAAGATAACAATTTGTTTTGTTATTGAATCTTTAAAGGCGAAGTTGTGGAGGTACTTGTCATAATAACACCATAAATAATGTCTTGGATAAAAAACTTGAGACTGAGTTTAACATCTTATGGAAAAGCTAGGATGGATTGTTTCAAAGCAATATAGTATGGAGACTATGAACAATCCATGCACATTGAACAAAGAAGACAAAAACATAAAAACTAGTAGAAGAAAAGGCGGGTTCTAAATCTAACAACCTAATTATAGAAATTACAAGGAAAGAAAACGAAATATAATTACCGATTTAGAATCACACTAATTGGTGGCTCACCATTTTTGATACCACTCCATATCAGCTTGTAGCATCACAAGTTCACTACCAAGTTGCTTTTCTCTTCAGTCCTCCAACAGTCAATCTGTTTATGTTTTTGTGTAAACAAGTGATCTCATGAATATAACAAATTCTTGAAGTACTTTATCACCAAAGTAAAAAAAATGTTTCGCATATATATCATGCAAACATTAAGTTACACATTATTTTCTAAAAAAAAATAGTCAAAAGCACCACCAAATTCCAAAGCTAGGTGCAAAAACAAAGACAACAGATGTGTTTTTAACTTGTTCCACTAAATAAAAAGAGAACAACGCAAACAAACACTTGTGGAATTAGCAACAATTGGTACATTACAATGGCTACAGTTAAACATTTGTCGGATGTAGACGAAGTTTACGCAATGGTTTTAGGCAATTGTTGCCCGAACACCATTGTAAATCAACACTAAAATTGGAAATGTAGCAGTTTCATGGATTAGGTAGTTGAATGAAATAAAAATCCTTTGTTACGATTTTGATATTGTAGTAGTTTAAATCTATTGGATCTTTATGGGTGAAAAAATATGGGAGAATCTTCACAAAGTGCTGTAATTTGAGTGTGTGACACGTAGGAAATGAGCTAAGTAGCTAATCCATACCTCTAACACTAGAGCACAACTAGCGAAGTATATTTGTTTTTTAGAACAGTTCAGCTATAGTCTGTGCTGCAATCACCGACTCCAAGATTTCTCTAGCATGATCTTAGCCTAATTAATATCCTCAATTTCTGAAGATCTTTAAGAACCTCCCTTAAATATTCTCTAAATCAACCACATAATAGTACTTCGCCTTTCAAAATTGAATCTGAATCCTACTCTCATCATCATCCATACTCATCAAAATATTCTTAAAATCTCTTGAGGTCACTTTAGGTATCTCTTTTGGGAGGTCTTTGATAAAATCAGGGAAAGGTTCAGTATATTTACCAATCTCTTTCACACTAAATTGTAAAGAGGCTTGCTTGTTAAACTTGAAACCCTTATTATTGGAGTCATATAATTGATACATGGCTTTGAGAAGGGTATTTAAATTTTCTTTTTTTTGGATAAGGCCATGACAACAATTTACAAAAAAAAAAAAAAACTAGAAAAAGACATTGCTGTCGTTTTTTCTTCATCCAAACAAAAAAATTTAGTCAACCTGGAAATCTGGAATCCAAGAAAAGAAAGTTCAGATTATGAAGTTTAGGACATAAATTCAAGATAAGTTGTCGGTAAGAACAACTCTTAGAGAAAGCATAAAATCCTAGACTGGGAAAAAGATAGAGGGAATCTAAAAAGACCAAGCATCATCCTGTAACACAAGGAGAGTTGTATTGCTGAAAGAATCAAACTAGCCTTGTAAAGAACAAAAAGCTGTATGGGCATTGGTGTGCGCTTTACAAGAAAGGCAAAGAGGCAATATAAAACTAGTTACTATAGGCATAGAACGGGAATTAGTTTGAAAATACTGGTTTCAAGTCAAAGCACTGACTGAAATGCATTGTTTCGCTAACTCTCCTTTTTATAGTGTAGTTTGATAGCTTGCTATTTAGTATAATTTGAGCCTTGGTATTGTGAGAAATCAATGTCTTAGTTCACTATTTACTCTATTTTTATTCATTTTTTGTGTATCCCACACTTCACGGGGTTGTTATTGTTTTTTATACTATTTTAGATCCAAAGAAGCAAAGCACTTCGTCGAAGAAGCAAAGAATTTAGAAGCAATGAGAAGGAGAAATGAGGCTACGATGGCTAATAGGAAAGCAAGGAAGAAGAATTAAGTCAAAAAGGGCTTATGAAGACCCTCTCTCTGTCTCTCACTCTTGTTAATTTTATGATTTTTATGCTTGTTAATTGCTCTTGCATGCTCAATCCATCTTGGTTTTATCTCTCCATTATTTAAATTGAATTCATGATAGCTTTAGAATTGATTGTTAGAATACTTTCCACCATGTGTAGTAAGTAGTTAATTAGCTAGGGGGTTGGGTAAAAACCCAACCAAGTCATGGATTGATTAAATTGGATGTCTTCATGTTTTACCTTGGACTAATGCTGCTTGTACTTGAATTGATTGATTGCATGTGTATTTTGGTCCCTTACTCACATTAAATATGGGGTTTGGTAGTGAGTCTTTTCATGTGCAATTGGATTATATCTTTTTCATGATTATGGTTGTCTTGTTTCAATGATTAGGATGCTTTAGTGTGATAATTTCAGGGAGAAATCCTAATTATTTGTGCTTCATGCTATCTCAGAATGATCAAAACACAAACTCGAGTTAGATATCCACTTCCTACCATTGAGGCTTGTTCCTTATCATGTCTGATCTAGGAAATGTTTATGTTGTGACTTTGAAAAAGACAATGTTAAGTTCCCATTCTATCACCCCGAGTATGATTCATGTCTATCCGCTTTGTTGATCTATCGGTTTAGTAGGTGTTGAATCCCATTCGCCCTAGCACTTATCTCCAAGGCAGTTAATTAATCAAAATCCCAATTTGTGACCGAACTAACTTATAATTGTTTCATATTCTTGGTGTACTCATACCCATTCCTTGTGAATACGATCCTTTGCTTGCCCTATACTTGTCTTAGGTTGGTTTAGGTAAAAATATTGTTTGACTTTAGGTTGTTTGACCAACGACCAAATATCTCTTTGCCATAGTTCGATCAACTCTCCTTTCCATAGTGTAATCCAGTAAACTTTACTTTCCATAGTGCCTCTCCAAATATAAGAGAAATGGTATTACTAGAAATGGTTTTTGAAATTATCCCTCTATGCATAATATATTGTTTTGCACTTTATAATTTTATATAGCCCAGCTTAAATTTAATTTGCATCAAACCATATTTATGCAATTGAATTGTTTTTTATTGTAGGGTTAATGAATGGAAGCTAAATAGACCCATAAATAGTCCTAACAACTCCGTGAAATTCAAAACCCGGGAGAGAATGACTCGAAAAACAAGCCAGTCATAATCAAGTGTATCTCCTAACCAAATTATTTTGTTTGGATGAGGAAAGAAAGAGATCATTGTCTTAACTTGGTTTTCTGCGAACTGTTATTAGTCTTATCCAATAATCGGAAATTCAAACATCCTTCTCAAAGCCATGTGTCAACTTTATGACTCCAAGAATAATGTTTTCAAGGTCAACAACCGAGCCTCTTGACAATTTGGTGTAAAAGAGGTAGCTTTAGCTCTAGACAATAAAGACACCAGGATAGAGATGAAATGCTAGTCCTTTGCCAGATTCAAAAACTGAAATGCTTTAAACAAGGATAAGCTAGATAGTCATACACTACTCATGTTCAAGCATTCCCTTAGCATTTTAGAATATATAAGAGAAAAGATGAATAGAAAATTGTGCAGCAAGGTAGGGATACTGGGTTTGATATGAAGATGTCTAACTAACTGAGTTTGAAGGAGTGTTAGTAGAGGCTGCAAGTTTTATCCAGGTGTGAAGATGAGGTGAGAGTTGGAAGTGATGCAGTGAAGAGATGATACAACATCATAACTAGCCAAAACATCCATGAAAATGTGGCACATCTGTCACCTAGTGCACATTTATGCGAGGCTGTTAACTAGCTTGTTTTGTGAAGGATAAGACCCTTGTACAAAATATGGCATGTTTGTGCTTGCTTTGTGAAGGATAAGACCCTTGTACAAAATATGGCATGTTTGTGCTTGTTTTGTGAAGGATAAGACCCTAGTACAAAATATGGCATGTTTGTGCTTGTCAGGTTTTCACGCGAAATTCTTAACTGACTCAGAATATGTATGCCCCCTTTGAACACTGCTCCCGGTTAGCAAGTTAGGAATTACGTCTCTTGGTTTGGTATTTCTATAATGTGGTTTTGTATATGTTTTGGAAAAGCTATATATATTTTTTTGCTTGACACATTTTTTACCAATACAGAACTTTAGACAAATTTAATTGACTTTTATTTTAGTACTCCCTCCGTCCTTTTATTAAAAGCTTGTATTCTTTTCTGGGCTGCCAAAAATTAAAAGCCTATTTGTGAATCTTTCTATTTTAGGATATAAAATTTTGACCAAAATAACCTCACCCCCTAAGTTTAATCCCCTATATGTCCCAAAAAAGGGTGAAGGTTAAAAGCTGAGCTTTTCATTTTTATTTCATTCCCAAAACCGACAATTTTTCTCTCACTCTCTCTACACTCTTTTTCAAGCGTTTCGGTTCTTCAATTTTTTTTTTTCTCTGGTTCATATCTGTCTTTCTTCGATTCTTTGCACTTAATAAAGATTTTGCAAAGAAAATTCAGTTTTCTTGCACAACTACAAAACCCCTTTATTAATTGTTGAGTTTGTTAGCAAATTTTGCTTAGATCTGGAAATAATTCCCACTGTTCATTTTCTCTCTCCTCCAAAAATTCCAGTCTGGGTTTTATTTGTTGATTTATTGTTTCATACCTTGATTTAACTCATTTTTGAGTGATTGTTTTTAATTGTAAATGTTTGAAAAAAGATTTGGCCGAGAGAATAAAATGAGGGTTATATTTGTTGATTTACAGTACAATGATGGAGTATTGTTTACACCTTATAAATGAGTCAACAATAAACACTCGGCCAAAGCAATAATCATCTACCACTCATCCTTCAACGAGCTTTAAACCTAGCATTGTACTCCATTAAAGGAAACCTAATCTTTTCTCAAAAAAAAAAAGGAATCATTTACCTAAAAAGAATATATGAAAAGGGAAGGAAAACTGAAATGGGGGAAGAGGAAATTGTGTAGATTTAATTTGAGGGGAGATGAAGTTGTACAGATTCAATTTGAGTGGGGGAAGTGGCGGAGCTGAGCCAAAGGGAGGAGAGAGACAGTGATTTTGGACAACTAATTTTTCTGATTTTTTTAAGCATTTCAATTTACTTCCTGGGTTTTAAGGAATCTACAAGTTTCTTAATTCCATGAAAAAACCCAAATAGGCTTTTAATAAATAGACAAAGGGAGTATATGATAGGCCCATATACAACAAGCCCTTACATTGTACTTTGTACATCTTCCATTGATAGATAAACATATACTTCCTGCTTATCTTTCTGTTCAACGTTTCAACTTTTACATTATTCACACACAATTTAGATTTCTTTAACTATTTATATTCAAATAAAAAAATAGTCAGATTATTCTCAAAGTATACTTTCAAATATTAAGTTTTTATAATTTTTACTAATTAATGGTGGGCAAGCGTGAAAATAGATATGTTGCAACTAAATATAAACAAAGAAATTAAATAGTAGTGATAAGAAAATTAAATCATGGAAGTAATTAAATGTTAAGAGGATAAATGCAAAATTTTAGAAAAACAAAGAGAATTAATAAAATACGAGTGAGGACTAAAAGTTAGTGAAATACAGGGATTAAAGTATATGGAAATACACACACACACAAAAAAAAGGAAAGAAAATTAAAGTATTATCTTCTTTCACTACGCCCAATCCAACTCCCTCAATCCCCAAAAATCTCATATAGCTTTCAATAACCTTCCTCCTAAGTTTTCTTTGGTCTTACTCTAACCCTCACAATCCCATCTTTGCACTCTTTAAGCCTCTCCTAACCAAACCAGTGTGTCTTACATGACCAAACCATCTTAAGCGATTATCCCATATCTTATACTCAATAGGTGTAACCTCTACTTTGTTCCTAATTACCTCATTCCTCATTGAATCCTTGATTTCTTTCTAGTATGAGTGTATGACCACACATCCATCACAAGTTCACAACACATGAACACACACATCACCAAATTCATCTTAAGAATATGACAATATTTCACAACACCATATAATAGGGTAAGTCTATTTGTCATGTGGCAGGATGTTCCCTTCAATCTATGGGGCATGCCAGAATCACATATGAACCCCGAAGCACTCTTCCAATTCAGTCTACCCACTTTATTTCTACAAACACCATATCCATCCAATTCCCCATCTTTTAGAATAATTGATCCTAAATAGCAGAAGAATTCGAAACCTTGCACAATACTCCCATCCAAGGAGATTTCCTTTGCCTCCCTACTTCAAATTCCGCTAAACTTACGCTCCAAATAGTTTGTCTTACTTCTACATAAAGCCTCAAGACTCTAATGTCTATCTCTAGAATTCCACCTTGGCTTCCCACCTACTTTTGTCTCGTCAATTCACACAAAAGCATCCGCAAACATCATGCATCATGGTATTTCTTCTTGAATTGAACTGATCAATGTGTTCATAACTATTGCAAAAAGAAAAGGGTTAAGTGTACTCTTTATGTACTCCAATATCAACTTTCAAAAGTGGAGACTGTAAATTTTATTTAAGGGTAGAGGTCAAACAATTTAGATTCCCTAGGATACACTTTCTCACCCCACCTTACCTACTAATCCCTCCACATAAGGAATGTAAGTTTATAATTCCATATCTTATTTTGCAAAATGTTCATAACAATATAAGCAAATTCTTCGGTATTACCACACAAGGACTAGAACTATATATCCTATAATGAGAGAATAGAGATCTCTCCTTACACGTCTTTGCAAGTAGGAGTTTTCTTAACACCAATGTAGCAGCATGAACACGAGCATTTTCACACAAGCACATAAGGGCAATAAAACTGTCAACATGTACAATGTATGCAACATGGTTTCCAACATGGTGAAGTGGGTAGTAACAATGTTGTTAGCTTTTCTATAGTTCAGTTACTTACATCGTCGATATGGGAAACTGTGTTCATGCGCTTTATCCCTGATCTGCCATGGCAAGAAACAGCAGAAGCAAGTCAGGAACTCATTGCACTGCACCATGAGGCATGAGCACAGGTGCTCTAGGAAAAATAAAGATAAGAAACCTACTTTACAATCATTTTTTTCCCCTTTTCTTTTGTTTGGGGAATGGTGGGAGAAGGGGAGGTAAGGGTTTGGAAGTAAGCAATTACCAAATATTTGGTGGGTGATATCATAGCAACACAGTTTCAAGTCTTTCAACTTCTAACCACCAAATGTCAAGTTTAGATATGTGACTGGCGTAAGGGAGATTTTTGGAGGCAAAATGATCTATAATCCACAACAGCCAACTAGGTTGGTGGGTAGATGTCTCAAAGATACATGGTAGAAATATTTTCAATAATTTAATGAAATGACAGGCAAAGTGACAAGGATACTAGAAGATCATAATGCTGCTTTTTTCCTAGAGCTAGAAAGTTTAAGATAACCATCGGGTTACACTGAAATAATACGCAACTGCTAGTAGCCTAGGTATAATTCAATGCTGTCCAACATACCTCAACATTGTTTGCATAATTTCTGGCTCCATAAAGTGATCCTGGTGATAAACACACCGCTGTGTTATGAATACAAAAGGAAAACCATTCAACCAAATCGTTGAAAATCCCAAGTCAACTTACCAGAAGTGTACCCACCATGCCGTTGATGATAGGTCATAGGGTTTGTAAGACCATTAGAAGGCATTATATTTTGACTGAAAGAAGCAACAAATAGCTAATTATTTAATGACAGCGTGACCCACAGCATATAAGAATATGAAGAGAATACTAACTGCAAAAATAAGCTGCATTGATAGGTTTAATTCAAATAACAAACCACCTAGAACTTGCAACAGAATAAGGAGCATCCAAATGGTAGTGAGGATATCTGTTTGAGATTCCATGCAGCGGATCAGTTTCCTAGTAGCAAAAAACAAAGGAAATATTATAAAAAGAAACAAGAACCAAAAGGCAGATACAGGTTAAATACTTAATATCACTTACCATATCAGAATATTGGCGCTTCCTCCCAGATAAGGGGTTAGAGTAGCGCATATCCATGGGTCCTGCATATAAATCCATCATAAAATAAATTTCCTCAAGGTTCAATTCAGTTGATAACAAGAGAATTGCTAAAGAGGAAATCTCAAGATCCATCATAGGAAGGGGAACAAATCCCAAACATAAAGGGCAGGCTAATTCTAGAAATTTAAAGGCCCAACAAGAACAACCACCAATTGCCTAAATGCAATAGTATAGACATAATTTAACTAAGGAAAGCCAAACTAGAGATTTAAGCAATAACCCCCAGATGTGGTCATCCCCTCCCCCCCTCCCCACCAAAAACCACCCACCTATGGTTAGCAGATTAAATATTTATACATAATGCCAGGGAAGGTGCTGATACTGCTAAACACTAGAATTCTAGAAAATACCGAAGTGTCAAGGGCACAACAATAGTGTGGACCAGACGAAAATTTCCAGATGCTTACTCTAACTCTTCAAGCTAAAAATGTTTCTTACGTTTACAAAAAGTGCTCTACGTATGGGTATTCGCCCACCCATATTTGCATCCTTAGCTTCCCAAACAAAGTAAATTGCATGCTTCAAGGAAACAAAACAGATGCCCAACAAGGAAGCTATGGTGAAAAGGTATTGTGTAGACACCTAAACATGTCTCCCCGACCACGTGTCTCATCAACTAAATGAGATAGTTTGGGTTTAAGATTAAGATAAATAAAATACGTGTCTCAACAGCCTATAAAGGGATAAGATTAAGACACGTGTCTCATCAGGGATAACTACGTATCTCATCAGCCAATAAAGGATTAAAATAAATAGTTTGGGCCTAAGATTAAGATAAATATGAGCTAGAAAAGTTAAATTAAATGGATTTAAAAATAAAACTAAGTACTCCTTTATTTCAACACTCTACCCAAACCAAATGGCAATGAAAGGGTTCCCTCATCATCAGGTATCGGTTGGGGAGCCATTTTTAGGTGTCTACATATTGAAAACATTTTTTTACGCATGCTTGCTTCTTTTCTATGATTAATCGCTTATATTTGTGTTGGTATGCTTCTAATCTATTATAACGTTTCATTAGGATTTTTTTTCCTCCCTATGGTTCATATTGTCAAATGTCTACCTAAGAAGAAGTTCTCTCACGTAAATCCTTCATGCTAGAGAATAAACATACAGCTGACATCAAATTAGACTCTAATGCCCATCATCTACATTTACAGTTGGATGGTAGATATTGTAAAGTACTTCGCCGTATTTATTTTAGACCAAAAAAAGAGAGAGAGAGTCTAAGTTAGGGGAAAAAATACAAATCAAAAGCATATCTTGGTCAATGTATGCAATGAGTTCCATAATGCAAACAAAGCAAAGAAAGAATCTGATTACTGTTGCTTAGGCTCGCATGTGGTGATCTCCATGAAGCTTGCTCCCTCAATAACTGGACCAACTCAACATTTGTAGAAGACATATCAGGAACTTGAATACCATGACGAGGTACCGTACGATGTGTCCAGTTTAAAGGCTCACTTGGCCTAACTTTACCTGCATAAAGTCAAAATATTTACCACTAACGGCATTGATAAATTATGAATTGTTAATATATATCTTAAAGCACATAATTCAGGAAGCTTTACAGGCATAGCAGAAATAAGGTCATTAGACATTCACAGATACATTTTAAAGAACATCCATCACTGAAAAGAAATTAATTGCAAAGAGGGATTATATTAAGAATTAAATCAAACAGAATACCCAAGGATTATAGAGCTTAAATACTAATAAGCTGGATAAAGCAAGTTCAACAATATAAAAGTAAATAATTATTTGCAAAAAATACTTCGTATTAATGAAAATTTATACATAAAACTTTGCAATGAGTAAACCAATCACCAAAAGCAATAATCAATCAAAATTCAGTCACAACAGCTAAGTTCATCTTAATCGTCTCAAACAAATTATTGACAACAAGCATATGATTTACTCACTGTGACTGGCTTTTGGCATTGTTTTGGGGACCTCCTTGGCAAAAGGTTTTGCAATTGGTCTTTGATTTACCTTTGGCTTTGGTTTAGCAAGGGAGACTTTCACACTTACCTAAAAACATAATTGCATTTTAGTTAAGTCATAAACTGATACAAGCATTCAAAAGTTTTATGAATAAGAAAGAAAACCTTGCTTTCGACTTTGCTGCTTAAGTCATGACCAAAAGATTCAATGCATTTGATAGCAGCTTCACGAGTTTTAAAACTGATAAATGCAAAGTCCTTCCTCTTGGTTGTTTTTAGATTCCGAGCAAGAACGATATCATCTATCTCCCCAAACTTCTTAAAAGTATCTCTCAATTTCATTTCATCCCAAGAGGAAGGTATAAATTCCGCATATACTGTTTTGACCTGCAAAATATTAATTGCACCACAAATAATCATGCTTAATTAGGAGATCCTCAAATATCCTTAAAAGCTCCAAATATATTCTTACACATGTTAATGAAAATCTATAATGCTCTACTTGAAACTGTTCATTGACCACTTGCAAGTTTGCAACTGGTCATTAGGCCAAACATTGTGAGTTCCTATCCATCCACAGCATCAATATATTTTACATAACATATACCTTTAGCATTTCTTCTTCATCAAGCTCCTTCAAAGGTTCAGCCCAAGCAATCTTTAATTTTTTATTTTTCCCAAAAACATCTTTCTCTTGAAGCTTCGTATAAGCAAGCTGAGCATCATTGATGGTTAAAAATTCAACAAATGCAAACCCACGATTACATTCGCTGTTATTCGAATCCACCATAACTGTGACCTTATCTATGTTTCCAATACCAATCCTGTTCAACAAACTGACAACCTACCCAAACATAAGTTTAGTTAGTGAAGTCGCCCTAAAGAGTGTGCTTTTTAAGAATTTAAAAAGTGCATGAGTCTTACATCTTCATACTTCCATTTCTTGTCAATGTTACCAAGAAAAATTGTATCATTGCCCTCGACAGGGGTTGCACCACACTCCTTGCCACAAATCTTTGATTGCATGAATTAAAAGAGCCAAGAAAGATTTTAAAAAAAAAAAAAAAAAAAAAAAAAAAAAAAAAAAAAAAAAAAACCAGTTAAACATCATAAAAAGGAAAGTATTTTCAAATTTGCACAAGAACATGATAGACAAGAATAACGTTCCAAATTGTATTATGTAAACGATGATGATAAGGTTATTAGAGTCTAGGCATAAAGTAAGTGGCGGTGACCCAAAATTAGGTGAAATAAATTATCATTCATATAGCCGCTACAGTGCTGATTAAAAACAATTCCACTGCACAGCATGAGTAAACTTTATTACCAAAAACTAAAATGGGCATTAGTTTTCACAAATCAAATTAGACTTGTCTGGTCTGACTACTTGAAGCACAATAACAACAATCTTGGACCATTTAACACAACTTGTGGCTATGTTACATTGACACCGGTACGGGTATCCAATATTGGTACGGATCTAAGTGTCCAATACGTCATTTTCAAAAATTTGGAACACGGGGACACCGTCTTAACTTTGGACTCGGGTATAGATACGGCAATAAAAGAAAAAAAATGGATAATCGTGGCAAGTTCCCATAAAAATGATAACAATTTTTATTATAAAATAGACTATTAGACTGTATGATGTAGTACTACTACTACCTAATACTGCCAATTTAAATGAAAAAAATACTCAATAACTCTTATCTACTGTACGAGTACTTTAAAAAGCATACATTAAAATTTTTTCAAAAAAAGAAAATGGAGTGTGGATCCAAAATAATTCTCTAGCCATTAATTACTGTATTTATTTCTCTCTACTCTATATTGCTGAATAGTTGGAGTGTAGATCCAAAATAAAACTCCACCATTCCTCTGTTGAATATGTTTGAGTGTCCGCCATTTTTAAAGCTCCAAGACTCCACCTTCAACCTCTTCTCCGCCATTTTTGAATCTCTAAGACAACATTGCAATACCCGAGAGCCAATTGGCGTGTCCGGAACAAATTTCATACCCGGATCCTCAGTACAAATTGCCATGTGGATAAATTATTGAAAACTTATTACTTTTGAAAGTAGATCCATCAAGTATATCTTCAGGTTCAAACTTCAAAAGTCTGTTTGGAAATGTTGTAGTTTTGGATTTCTGGTTACTTAGTTTTTAAAAACAAAAAAGATTTGTTCGGTGTTGGTGTTGAAATAAACAAATTTTGCTAAAGTTACACCATAAAAACAAAAAAGGGAAACCACATTTAGTGGTTTTAAACAGCTTTGGTTTAGTAAGTCACCCTCTCCTCTCTCCTTTATCGATGCACAATTCCTCCTAAAATTATTATAGCTGTTTGTTTTCTAGAAATTAAAATCCCTCTATTTCAATTCTACAAACATGGAAGCTTGTACAATCAATTTTTTTTAACAAATTTTTTTGCAATTTTCATCAATATTTTTGCTGGTGGCCAGATTCAATATTGTTCATCAATGTTTTGAGTTTTCTTTTCTTTGTTTATCATTTTGATCTAGTCTTTCTCATGGCCGAAATGAATTGATTTATTTTATCAGTTTTTGTACATCGTCAAGATGTTCTCAATTTCTCATTCTTGCTGCTGGCATAAATTGTTCAAGATTATGGAATTGAAATTCCAAGTTTTTGTAGATTGATCTTGTAATGAAATAAGTTATGCTCTCCGCCTCATCCTAAATTTGCTGATGAATTATAAGTGATGCAAAAATCTGAAATTATGTTCCTCCCCTCCCCTCCCTCTCTCTCTCTCTCTCTCTCTCTCTCTCTCTCTCTCTCTCTCTCTCTCTCTCTCTCTCTCTCTCTCTCTCTCTCTCTCTCTCTCTCCCTCTCTCTCTCTCTCCCCCCTCTTTCTATGGCTCGAAAACTATTAGGTTTGATGTAATTAGGGTGATGAATGAAATAATTAGATTCAGGTTGCAATTAATGGATGGTAATGGGTAGGAAGAGGAATGAAGGTTATTTGATAACAGAGATTGATGAGTACAGAAGACGTGTGGTTTTAGAGGTCACCCATCAACAGTGGTGAAAAGAAGAAGGTGTAATGTTTTAGTTCTATTTTAGATTAATAAAAACTATTTTCCATTAGTTTTAAAATAAAAATAAAAGTCAAACCACAAATCAGAGTTAAAAAAAACTAAAAACAACAATGAGAACAAACCCTAAAGTTTAAGTTTCACTTTCGACTTTCATCTAGAACTCTAGAAGGTTCAAATCCAGACACAAGGAGCAAATTAGCAATGAAGATTGCTCTTTGAGATTGAAACGACGTACAGCAACCTTGGGGTTTATGTAATGAACCAACCTAGGAGAAGGGCCTAAGCGGACGACAAAAACAACCTTAACAAGAAGAGAGGTACAACAAAAAAGTGTAAAACGGAGCACAGAAGGCAGCCGCCACTTGTGCACATGAGACAAAAGCATGACTTATCCTAGGGATTAAAACCATGTACATAAAAAGAAAGTGGGTGTGGTAGGCATTGCAGACAAGATAAGGGGAAATCGCCTGCGTTGGTTCAGGCATGTAAGACGGAGACAACGAATCGAGGGTGCACCGGTACGAATAGCGGAAGAGTGGGACCATGGAGGGTTTAAACGAGGGAGAGAGAGACTGAAAGTGACTTAGTTGGAAGGAGTCAGGAAGGATATGAAGTATATGGATTTGCATCAGATTATGAGAATGAGGTATTTGATCGTAACGGATGGAGGAAGAACATTTTTGTGGATGACTATACGAAATAATCACTTTTGGTTCATGTAGCCGACCCCACTCATAGGATTAAGGCTTTGATTGATTGATTGATTGTTGAGGATAGTTTTTATTTAATCAGTAGGATGAAATTGCCATAATTTCTATCAATATTCAATATAACTGCAAAGCCAAAATCAATCAATCAATCAATCAAAGCCTTAATCCCATAAGTGGGGTCAGCTAACATGAGCCAAATTTGATTATTCTGTGTAGTCATCGACATAAATCTTCCTCCTCCATCCCTTACGATCCAATGTTTCATCCTCATGCACATCCATACACTTCATAACCTTCCTATCTCCTTCCAGCCAAGTCATTTTCGATCTCCCTCTCCCTTGTTTAACCCCTCCATGGTCCCACTCTTCCACTCTTCGCACCGGTGCACCCTTGGGTCTCCGTCTTACATACCCAAACCAACGCAGGCGATTTTCCCTTAGTTTATCTGCAATAACTGCCACACCTACTTTCTTTCGAATAACCTCATTTCTGATTTCGTCTCTTAGAGTGTTCTCACACATCCACCTTAACATGCGCATTTCTGTAACCTCCATCTTTTTAATGTGCTCCTTCTTAGAAGCCCAACATTCTGTACCATAGAGCAACACTGGTCTTATCTGTAAAATTCTACTGTAAGGGAATGCTTTAGTCGCATAACACTCCCGTGGCCGCTCTCCATTTAAGCCACCCCGACTTTATCCTGTGGGCCACGTCTTGATCAATGTCACCATTCTTCTTGATGATCGACCCCAGATACTTAAAACATTCACTCATGGTCAAATCCTTTCCATCCAAACTCACCACTTCATTGCTTGTCCCCCTCTGAGTACCAAAACGACATACCAAATACTCAGTCTTACTCCGACTTAGCTTAAACCCTCTAGATTCCAACCTTTGCCTCCATTGCTCCAACTTGGCATTAACCCCATCCTTAGTTTCATCCACCAAAACGATATCATCTGCGAACAACATGCACCATGGAACTTCATCTTAAATTGGTCTAGTTACTTCATCTAGAACCGTTGCAAAAAGAAAAGGCTTAATGCAGACCCTTGATGCAATCCGATTGTAATAGGGAAATCTTTTGTCAACCCTCCACATGTCCTCACATTTGTTGACACATCCCGCCGATACATATCCTTAACCAGGTGCACGTACTTTCATGGGATACCTTTCTTCAACATTGCCCACCAAAGTACCTCTCTTGCCACCTTGTCATAAGCCTTCTCTAAATCAATAAAGACCATATGAAGATCCTTCTTCTTTACCCTATAAAACTCTATTATTTGTCTTATCAAATGGATTGCTTCCACAGTAGATCTCCCCGGCATAAAACCAAACGGGTTATCTGAAATGCTTGTGCATGCTCTCAACCTATGTTCAATCACCCTTTCCCACAACTTCATAGTGGTACTTTCTCCAACATATGATGACTTCCATCTTTGTATCAATATATCTTACTAATTTTTTTGATTAAGTGTCATTGCTCTATGCATTGGTGAGATTGCTACTGTGCGGGAACCTTTCAACTTTGGTTCAGTTTGAGTGTTAGTAGCTTTTTGAACATGTCTTCTCAAGTAGCCGCACAGTAGCGAAGGAGGGGTTAATTTTCTGGATGCATCAGATAACCAGAATCTAGAAATCATGCAAGGCTCAGTGGGTGATCATTGATGGTCATTATATTGTATTGGACTCAAATTGCTGCTACCTAAATAAAAGGAAATTAGCAAGGGAAAGATTTTCTGTCAAAAAAAAAAAAAGCAAGGGAAAAGTTGGTTCTTGATTGCAAAAGATTAAAGCTATTAAACTAGTAACTTTAGGCTACCACTCTCCAGCCTAATCTTTTCTTCTCTCTCTTTTTATGTACATGGTTTTAATCCCTAGTACGTCTACAATGAGGGAAATCGTATGCGGAGAGGGAGGAGACCATTTTTAGGAAGGTATCGTGGTGGTGGACGGGTGGTTATTAAAAGGAGAGATAGTGGATTAGGGAGGAGAGAGATGAAAGAGTAGATTAGGGTCTGTTATGAGGGAGAACAGAGAAAATAAGAGAGGGTTATATTGGCATTTAAAAATAAAAAACTTACCCAAATTAGAAACTTGTTAACTATAAAGAAGGTTCCCTAAAATGAATACATGTCAATTAATTTAGAACAGAGGAAGTAAAGTATAATCACCATTAGATAATTGCTTCCTCCATTCTTTTTAAATTGACATGTATTGATTTTTACACTATTACAAATTCTACTTTGACTAGCTGTAAGGATCTTGTCGGAATCGTTTTGTTGTATATTTTCGTAATATCAGCTTTGTATAAATTTACTTATTGATAATTAGATATATTATCGAAATTGTGCATAGGTAAACGTGATAGACAATCACGTCAACTCTAAAGGTAGAATTGTTAATGGCCCAAATTATATTTGACATGAAATCCTAAACTAATAACATGATCTTAACTTGAGACAGAACTCACTAGACCGATAGTATACTTGAGTCTGAGACTAATCCATTTTAAACCTACGGTCCAATCCAAACTTGACCAGAGGATCATACTATCCGAATTTGAACAAAACCAAGTACAAAACTTTACTCCTTTAATGCTTTATACTCATTTGGTATATAATATTGGGTTTATGTAATGCTATTTGAGCATAGACAATCAATATATTTTATATTGCAATAGTTTAGGGGACACTAGTCATATTTCACAAATTCACATCAAACATACAGGCTAAAATTTTCAAACAATATACAATTCATGATCCCAGGCCATGAGCCAATATATACTACTATGTATATTAAGTCAACATAGCAGAACAACTTAATAGTGTCTTACCATAGGCAGAGAAGATAACAGTTATATAGAGAACTCATAAATCTCATAAAATCAACCAGAAAATGAACCACTGCACACCTAGCCTCTATTTAGCAACAAAACAGCAAATGAATCAAATAAGCAAGAAAAGCAGCAGCAGTAGCATATACCTCGACTTTGGCAAACTTATCTAACGCTCTTTTGGCCTCCTCTGCGGACGCATACCGCAGAAACGCAAACTTCTTCCCAGTCTTACTATTCAAAATCAGCTTCAAGTCCACAATTTCACCAACCTCTGCAAAAACCTTCCTGATATCTTCCTCCTTGACATCCTTATCCAATCTGCCAATAAATATCTCCGTCTTTCGCCTCTTCTTTCGCTCCATCGCCTCCAATTCCCCTCTAAACAACTTCCCCTCTCCTTGACCATCTTCCACCTCCTCTCCCTTCCCGCCCTCGGCAATAACCAAACCCTCACTTTCCTTTCCACATTCTCCACCCCTCTCCTCCACATTACCCTCATTGTTCGAAACATTCTCAATTTCCATCAATTCACTTCCTTTTCCTACTGCATTCTCGCCTCGATTTTCTTCTATAACATCCTTCTTCTCAGCAACCTCCACCTTACTCTCATCCTCCTCCATCTTACAAACTAAAACATCGGAATCATGACTTTCGGCCTTTAATTGAACACCAACCTCAGCAGAAGTTGTTGAATTCGAATTCAAATCATGATTTTCCACCTTCAATTGAACACTACTACTGGCACACTTCGATTCCTCTTCTCGAATATTCAACATCGAATCATTAATTTCCTCCTTCAATTGAACACCTTTTCCAGCAGACTTTAATTCGTCTTCATTAACAGAAGCTGCAATTGTAAATTCAGGTTTCGAAATGGAATCAACATTACCACCAACCTTATCAATTTGATCAATTTTAGAATCAATTTCAGACTTTACAACCTTTTTCGGAACTCTCTTAATCACCTTCTTCACAATTCTAACAGTCTTCTTCACCACCTTCTTCGCCTTCCCAACACTATCCTTATCCTTAGTCTCCTCAGAACCCAAAACGGTGTCGTCTTGAGGTTTCACGGCGGTTTCCGGCGCTTGTGCTTGATTCTCAGGTAGCTCTGGTTTTCCGGCGATTAGGGTTTCTAATGATGGAGCCAAAACGACGTCGTTGTCGGGAAGAGGAGCTTCAGTGAGTGGTTGGTGATTATCTGCATGTATTTCTTCGGCGGGTTCGGTTGAAATAGTGGGATTTTCTGGCGGTGGTGGCTTTTTCCGGGTGGCAGCGCGCCGTGGACGGCCCTTCGGAGGCATCTGAATGTTGGGAGGAGAGAGGTGGGGTCGTTGAAGGTTGTTGAAATGGGTGTGACTGTGTAACTGTGTATTGAAGAGGGGGACTGAATCAAATATTTAATTTGTACAGATGATAAAAATTTCAGGCCCGACCTCAACATTAAGGGAGCCAAAGTTACACACTTTGATAAACGTATTTAAATGGCAATTCAGTAAATATTTAGTTTTGTTTTCTGCAAAATGGCTTTAAAAAATATTTTTTTGCTCTATTGTCACATGCAATGAGGAACCCCTGTTTAACGCCAATTTAATTTCTAGAAGTAAATGGGGTTACTTTATCAAAAGAGAGAGAGTGTAAAAAAAAGAAAAAAGGTCTGATAATAAGTAAGACTATATCTTCTTCATGGATGCAGCAACAATCCAACGGCCGGTAACCGGTTGCTCCTCCACCTTCTTCTTTATTTATTTTTATTTATTAATTTTTTCTTTTTCCTATTCCATCTTCATCATCCTCCAACTTCTTCCTCCTCCACCTTCTTCTTGTTTTACTGCTCCTCTATTATAGTAGCTCATGAACACCACTTTCACCACCACATTTTCGGCAGCTTCGCTACCGAACTAAACGAAAACCCTAAAAGGTGAAAAAATTGGTATGGTTAACCCTAAGTGGAAAGGGTTGCGTCTAGAGATGGCAATGGATCAGAATTGGATCGGGTGGAGCTTCACCTGCATCCATCCATTATTCCAATTGCTCCATCCACATCCATCCGTCATCCACTTCCCCATCATCCATATCCGTCCATCCATCATCCGCGTATGAAACGAGTGGAGCTGATGACTAATGAATGAATAATTAAAGTTTAAAAAAAAATCCACATAAACTCTAATTTCAGTTGTTTATACAATAATTTTTCTATTTTAATAATAAAAAAGGGAAACAATAACAGCATATTGTTTGAACAAATTAATTTGCAACACAAAACTAAGTAATTTTTTTGCACATTTCATTTTTTATTATTAAAATTTATAAATAAAAAAAAATTAATATATGTTAAACGGGTGGGTGGATGGTTAGCGGGTGAAGTAAAGTATCATCCACATCCGATTCGATCCATCACCCGCTTCATCCGTCACCCACTTCTCATCCATTTAAATCGGGTTTTCATTTATTTAATTAAAGCGGGTGGAGCGGGTTAGCGTATATCCATTTAGTATTGTCATCCCTAGTTGCGTCTTGCTTCAATTGTTGTGTGCTCCGATTCAATCAACTCTAATGATGATTAAACGAGAAAGGAGGAGAGAGAAATTAAAGGAGAGAGGAGGAGAAAAAGAAATTAAAAGAGGAGAGAGAAAATGTCAGTAAATACCACCAAATGTCGTCAATTCTACACCTAACACCGTTCATTGCAAATGTCACCGTTGCCCTTACTTTTCTAGATGAAAGTACAACACTGCCCCTTGATAAACAGCTCATGTTTCTCATTGTTATAAACTTGAATTTGCTCCTTAACATCAAATTTTATGTTAGCCTATGAAAAAATGACGAGTTTGTCGAGTCAAAGCAGGATTTTTGGACCGGATTTTGATTTTTAACTAAAAAAGTGGTTTTAGACCTGCCCAAACCCGCTCTTTTACGAGTCGGGCCATAATTAGGCGCAAATTTTAACATAAATGTAAAGGGGAAAAAAAAGGTCCTATTATTTTGAGTTGTATTTTTTTTGCTCTACTTTGCTAAAATTAGGTTTTTTTTTTTTTAACAAAACTTTGCTATGCTCTGTATTAAACTGTAATTAATAACGCATAATTAATAAGTAAATATTAATAATTAATAGTAATAATTAATAATTAAAAGTTAATATTTAATAATTAATAACGACAAAAAAATAATAATAATCAAAATTATTAAAATCGGGATTCTACTTTGAATCGAAAGGAGCTCTCATAATCGAATTGTAAAATCGAATCGTAGAATCGTAAGATTCTACCAACATGCATAATTAAGACATCATATCTAAATTTAATTAAATATATTAAATTATAATTTTGAAACCTTGTTATTGATAGAAAATAGTTGTTTACCCATTAAGCATGTTGGGTTTTGCGGTGTCCGACACCGCGCGAAAACAAAACCCCGCAAAAGGATCGCATGCATAATAATTACAACATAGCATGTAATTAATGAAAGCATAAACACATAAAGGGAAGAGAAAGAAAGAAAGGATAAGAGTAGCTCACCCTTGACGCGTTTTTCGCTCCTATCACGAGCTCGGACTTGAAAACCCTCGAGACACGTAAGTGCAAGCCCTCCAACGTCTCACACCCTTGTGCCCGAACCGGCCCCTACCCCGTAGCTTAGACGGGGCTAGACCAAATAAAACAAGAGTTTTACGAACTTAAGGCTTTCTCACGCTTTTAGGAGATACTTTTTGAGTTCAACTCAAGTGAGTAATCCCATTACCCAAGGTGGGTATGTATTTATAGGGAAATGCTCCCAAAAGTTTCCATCAACTTTCCGCGTGGGAGAGTTGTTGAAATGAGAAAGTAAACAATTAATTTAATTCCAAATTAAATTAAATGGCACAAGTAATGAGAAAATGACAAAAGGCAATGCAAGGGAGGGGTTAGGTAAGGACCACAACCCCTTCCCTTGGAGAGCAAGCGAAAGCCAACTCACCATAGTCAACCAAGAGAAGACCGGCCACATGCCTTGGGCCTCAAGGCTCGCCTAGCTGGCGGCCTAGCCCTCGGCTGGGCCTGCTAGCATGCCGCAAGCCCACGCGAGCTAGCGGGCTACTGCTAAGCCTGGTCGTGTGCTTGCGAGCTGGTGCTAGCGTTGCTAGCATTGGCCTGCTCGCATGCTTGTGAGCTGATGTTAACGCTGCTAGCTCGCCCAGCACAGCAACGCTCGCAAGGCCATGCGCTGCTAGCTAGCTAGCTCGGCCAGCATGCTCGACCAGCGCACATGCGTGGCTGGTGGGCTTGCGGCCGAGGCTAGTCCATGGCTAGCAGCTATGCTAGCTAATGTTGCCTAGTCCTCGATTGGCTAGGCCAACCCGAGACTAGGTCTTTTGCGATGACTTATCATTTGACTTATTTTCTCGTCTCGTCGATTCCTTGGAACGACTCGACGTTCGACGCTCGGTTTTGACGCTCTAAGCTCGGAACCCGACGTCTTAGTTCGGAAAATCTCCATCGACTTATTTAATCCTCCAGATTAATTCGTCGTCTTGGTTCGGTTACACGATTGGGTGTGACCCCGAAGGTTTCAGTCAAGAGAAAGTTGTAATATTAATTATACATTAATATTACTGATTGGAAGCGGCCTCCAGCTAGGCATTCTGATCACTTGACCTCACTGAATTATTAGCTTTCCTAATTAGTTCTGAACCCTCTATCCGAATAATACACTTGTTTGAAGGACATCATTCCTTTCAAAGCAATCAATAATTGACAATATATATTTATAAATAACTATATAGGCATGTTTCAAAATTGTAAGGATTTCGCTAGTTAAGAGAAATATGTAAAATTGGGTAGAATCGCAAATTGAATCGTGTGACATACATGAATCATAAAATTCGTAAGATTCTAAGATTTTTAAATAAGGATTTTAATAACAATGATAATAATAATAACTGCTCTACTCAGAAGCTCAAAAGAACATGGCCTAATAAAGCGCATTGTTAGGTGTTGTCTCCTACACCATTGAGACATCAAGTCAAACATCGAGCGTAGGTTAAGTGCTCTCTAAAAAGTTCTAAAGAGTTTCAACATCATCTTGGTGGAGCATTTTAAAAAGGATGATGATTCTAGAATATTCACAGGCTTTCTTGTAGATATTTTGTATTGTACTCTGCACTACGTATTTAGGATGTTTTAAAGATGTTCATATTCATTGTAAAGCATGTAGAATGCTCTAGGAGATTAGGACACTTTGAGATGGTGTAGATATCTTACCCTCCACTCTCACTTTTTTAAGTATCCAACGTGCAAATATAGGATCCAAAAAACCAAATGGGTTGAGGTATGGTCAAGGTACTTCTCTTTAACAGAAAAAAAAAATATACTAGTAATATAAAACTAGCTTAGAGTTGTCAAAACTGACTATAACCGATTACCCAACCTGAATTACCTGACTCGAGACCCAATTCGAACCAAAAACAGCGACCTAAAACCCAAAGTGACCGACCCAAAAACCAATCCAACCTGAAGGTGAGTATGTTGACTTGATACTCGAAGTGACCTAACTAGAAGGTTGAGAATTAAGCAAATATTTTATAAATCAAGGACCATTCCTAAGCATATAAATCCAACTTTTTCCCGCATCCATGAATGTACTACACAATCTTATTATACCAAATTTTGCTGATGAACAATAAGAAGTAAAGGTTACTAAAAGGCTATCGAAAGTATACACAAATACAAAGATGAATACGCATGCTTTCAAACTTAGATGCCCTTGAGTCCTACGATGCAATATTCCACAACGATATTGATTACTTCAAGATCGAGCTTTACGGGAAGAGGGATGTGTGCTTCTTACGAGGAGAGCTCCAACGTTGAATCCTTTTTGGTTGGTTGTGCCGGCGAAACAGAAAGACCATGTGTCACCCTCGGTCATTAACAACTCTTTGTTCAAGATGTCATATGTTTTCGCAGTGTCTCCCTAAGTTGGGAGTTCAAAAAGGAAAACTGACAATGCTCGTCCCATGGTCGCCTTTTGAGGTACGAATTGTAAATCGAATTTGCGAAGTATGACTAGCCATCTTGGCAAAAGACCCATTTAAGGTGAGTTCAACAAATATATATCTTAAAGAGTTGGGATGTCAATTGACGTGAACAAATGTACTGTCTCAATTTTTATGATGCCTAAACTAAAGCGAGGCATGTCTTTTCTAAGTGTTAGTACCACGTTCATATTATTTGAATTTCTTACTAATGTAACAAATGACACACTCTTGTCTTATTTCTCATGCTAACATTGTACTAGTAGCGATCTTAGTCATAATAATAAGATAAGTAAAAATCAGATAAATAGAATACGAAGTACATAATAAGAAATTTTCCGAAACCAGCCGAACAATACAAGGCCTAAATACCGTAGCCTTAAAGTCTTAAACCAAGAATCACTAGGAGAAAAGAGAAAAAGCCAAATAAAGAGGGTTTTCTTTGGCCCAACAAACCACAACATTTTCACAGTTGCCTTTGCCACCCCCAAATCCAATCTACCCCCATTTTTGAAGGTTGCGAAGAGAGAGAAAGTAAGAAAAAATGAGTGGAGTTGGGAAGAAGATTGCTGATGTCACTTTCAAGGCATCCAAGAACATCGATTGGGATGGCATGTCTAAGCTCATTGTCTCTGAAGCTGCTCGCAAGGAGTTCTTCACTCTTCGTCGTACCTTCGATGAAGTCAACACTCAGCTTCAGACCAAGTTTAGCCAGGTCCGATCTTCGACATTCTTAACCCTAATTTATTGTTTTACCCATTTCTGGTTTTTGTTGATTTGTTATTATTGCGGTTTAGGGAAATTTTTTCGATGTTTTGATTGATTGATTGTGATTTTTTTGAAATGCGATCTGGGTTTGTTGTTGTTGTTGTTGTGAGAACCCTACTTTTTTTTATTTGCTATTGTTCCTGATTTGAGCCCAGAAATGCATTGATTTCATGATTTTTCGAATAGGTTTGATGGGATTCTTTTTGTATTGCTGAATAACAATGCATTGAGTATTAATAGAGGAGGATTGTGATTTGATTGGATGATTTTTTTTTTGGAAAGGTCGAATATTTTATTAGGATAACTCTTAACCCTAGTCTTTTTCTCTTAAGAACAAATTCGAAACCCATTGTGTTAGAACCATCAAATTTTTTAAGGTGGGGGGTGGGGGGGTGGGGGGGGGGATTACCATAGTTTATTTACTTCTCACCTGTGTTACTTGAACATGAGTACGTGTCTAAGTACTCGGTTGTTTGGTGTAAATTTTCCATGGTATTGTCCCGGAATGAAGCGTTGAAGTGTCCATAACCTTCTCAGAGTGTAAAGGATAGGATCCGACACTGGTAATTGATATCAAATGGACTTTGAGTAATATAGCTTCTCACTTCTGTACATAGTCTGGCTACATGCTTTCAATTGCTTCCAACCTTAAACCTCAGGCTGCATTAGGGTTATTGCAAATAAGTTGTAGACATTACCGTGTGAGCGAAAATATTTTGGCACATTTTTCTAATTGAAAATCATGGAATAGCTGTAATAGATTGTGATCAAGTTTTAGATGAGTTAACTTTAGGTTAATATGTATAGAATTGACATGCAGATACAATGATAATTATGCTTTGCTTATGCAGGAACCTGAGCCCATAGACTGGGAATATTACAGAAAAGGAATTGGCAACAAATTGGTTGATATGTACAAGGAAGCTTATGATGGTACATTTCTGCATTCCTATAATTAATTTTTTCTATCAAGAAATTTATTTGTCTGAAATTCATGTTAGTTTTACTTTATAACGTGATATTACCGGATTAGTCATAAGATGGTTTAGGGAATAAACAAATTTTTTTATAGCATGCTGTCTTTGTGTTTCATAGACACTTGTGTCTAATGTAAGGTAGGAGAGCGGCTATGTTGTGCATTAGTCATAATGTCTTTGTTGAGAAACCTTAAAAACTGAAAAAAAGAATATATAAATTTGCGAGAGCATCATTGATCGTCGTTGTACAACAATATTCTTTAATATTTTCAACTTTTCTTGTCTTTTCTACCTAGTGTCATGCTGGATGTAAGCACAGTTTGATTTCCTTACTTTATCTTCAGCATTTGTAAAGTTTAGGGAGAAGGTACAAGGTCTCAAGCATGAGGACATGACTTGTGTCAAAATGAGCAGATAATATTTTTATTTTTATTTTTTTCCATCTGGAATCTTCCATTTGAAAATAGAAAAACTTTGAGCATGAGTATTCATGGATTTATACATCATCCGCTCTGTATCACTTACTACATAGCATCTTGTCACGCATTTAAAGTTGAGATTTGATGGTGTATATGGGCAAATTAATCAAAATAATTGAAACATAAGCAAGATGAAAAATATATGTTGCCACTGGTCAAGTTGTTTTGATGAATTTGAGTGTTTACACCCTCAAATCTCTTCCTCTAAAAGTTCGCCAAGAGGGTATTTTGAGCAGAGGAAGTATAAGAAAATCATACTCATGTGGGATCTTGTTAGCATTGTCTTCATGTTCAGTTTTTAATGTTAACTTTATGTATATAATACGTAGTCAAAGATATTTATGTTAAAATGTGTGAATTGGAATCGTGCATAAAGTGGACAAAGGGAGTAGAAACCGAACGATTGTTTTTGTTATGAGATTTTCAAATGATTGCTTTTGACTTGTCAACAACGAGTTCCTTTAGATTGCCTAAATTAGACAAGTAATTAGGACTGATGAATCATTGTATAATCTGCTACATTTTTGTAGTTATCATAAATTATCCTCAATGGGAAAATGCGTGTAAAACATTGAGTACAATGCATACCAGTTTACCAATCGTGAACTATAACCTATGTTGCATGGACTCGGGTTCCCATGTCCGACATGGGTATGTGTCTAAGCGTCATTTTGTGAAAAAAATCAATGGTTTTGAACCAAAAGGGAAGTATCCAAGTGTCATACCCATGTCGGACCACCCATGTCCGAGTGTCGAGGGTTCGATATGGGTACTTGAGGTGAAATGAAGAGTCCATGTAACACTGACTATAACATTAAATGTCCTCGGTTTTGGTTGGCTCTGCTTGTGTTTTGATAGTAGTTAATGGATTTGATGTTAATAGAATGATTGAAGGTGGATTTAGAGAGGAAGAAAAGAGAAAGTGTTGTGATCGAGATTAAAAGAGTGTGTGGGGGAGGGAAAATGGGGAAATAGTTTCTTGATGATAAATTTTTTTTAGAAGGTAAAGAGAATAATTTTTATCCGGGATACCAAGTATAGGATTGTGGAAATTATCTTTGGACAGAGGGACTATATGCATAGGCAGCTTCCTATTCCCTATTTCTGTGTAGTTTTCTTAGTCTTGAGCTGATTTACATGTGTTTATTTTCAAGATTTACGTTTGGTGTCTTGTAGTGAAGTGATGGTTTTCATAATCTGGCATTCTGGCAATTTTGGAGATTTGCTTGTTGGAATTTTGGCTCATTTGGCTGTGTTTTGGGGACAATTTTTTTCTTCCCCTTGCCAAAGATGGGAAAGGTTGTTCTCAAATAAATGTGAGAATTATTATAGTATTAAACTTGTGTCTGGCATTTTCTTTGCAACATTATTTCTTGATGTATGGTTTTGGTGTTTAACTTTATCTTTTCATTTTATTTTGGTTCCTGCATTACGTGTAAACTTGCTAAGATTTTACCCTAATGTAATTCTTTTTTTCTCTCTAGGCATTGAGATTCCAAAGTATGTGGACAAAGTTACACCAGAGTACAAGCCTAAAATTGATGCCCTGGTCAGTAAATTATACCTTGTAAACCTTCTAAATTGCATTGATCATTAGGTGTTGTCAAGCAGCGACATACTCATCTTCATCCAAAGGGACATAAATGCATAATAACTTAATAACACTTTATCTTGTGACCCAGCCTAAAATGTGGAAGAAAAAGGACCTCGTATCAATATGTACCAAGTGGTTTTTATCCCTGCTTTTAGCCATTATAATGCTAATGATTTTGTTCTTCTCACCTTGAATAAATTATTTCATACAATTATACAAGAGTTGCATAAATCTAGTTGAAGGTTTGGATGGTGAGAAAATTATCTTGCAATGGTGGTATGGGCATGATCCTATTGGGGTCTATAGTGCAAGAGATTTTCATTTCAATGCCATTTTCCAGTAAATATTTGCTGCTACATATCAAATTTATCCATATTTGTCAGAGAAAGCATATTCTGCTACAAGGACGAGTATTGCTTAAGATTGTGCTGACTCGTTGTCATGTGTTGTACTGCAGTTGGTGGAGCTCAAAGAAGCAGAACAACAATCTTTGAAAGAGTCTGAAAGATTGGAAAAAGAAATAGCAGATGTGCAGGAGTTGAAGGTAAGGCTATTTTTTTGCAGCTTTGTAAATGCTATCCTTTGAGCCTATAGTGCTAGTTGTTTTAGGTTTCCATATCTTTCCGTGACTAATTAATGTTTACTCTCTTCAGAAAAAATTGAGCACCATGACTGCGGATGAGTATTTTGAGAAGCATCCAGAGCTGAGGCAGAAGTTTGATGATGAGATTCGCAATGACTATTGGGGTTATTAATTCTTTGACGATTATGCAATTCCCTTAGGGTGAACATGTTGAGATCATGGTGATTGATCGGTATAATTAGCATAATAAAATAACTAATCTCTGCCTTTTTGGCGTTATGTTTCGTCCATGTGAAGGATTTTTTTTCATTTATGCTCTTGTAATTAGATTGTGAGGTGCTTGCAAGATGCCTTGGTATGAAAGAGAAAGCACATTTGTTTGTCTGATGAGCTGAATACCATGTTGGAAGTAATTTTTGAGAATTAATCTTCTTTTTGTGCCCGTTTCTGAAGTTTTGTTGCTTTCAATCCTTGTATTAATTTGTTTCAGTATTAGGCAAGGTGATCAATCTAGCAAGCTCTAGTTTTGTTCATTGTATAGGTCCTTTTTTGGTGGAATTAATTCAAATGATAAACTTCGTTAAGAGTCTTAAGACTATGAAGTACAGTAAATAAATCATGATTTTTAATACATATCCTGCCTATATATGGGGGGATATAGTTTCATAATCACTTGCTACTAAAAGTTACTATGATTACACCACATGTAACACTATAAACCACTAGTAACATTATGCTTATTTAAGAAATGATCAGATTGACAACTTTCTATGTACAATTGAGCAATGGTACAATGAAAGCTACTACATCTCTCTTTTTTGTCCATGTGCTTTTATTTTGTACAGATTATGCAATGGAGAAATACAAGTTTAACACCACGATAAATCAACATCTTGTTAGTAAATATGGGACCTACAATCTCATCTAATATCATATTACTAATAAATAAAGCTGGTCTCGCAGCCAGGTCATGAGACAGCGACACTTGACATTCCAGTTTTTCGCCAAGTGTCACGCCACATAGGCGAAAATTAGGTATTATTGTGACACATATGATGCTAAGTAAGCGAATTTTGGATAGATTTTTTAAGATAAAGTTGTTGTATAGAGTTTTATTGTCGATATACTTCTAATATTTCATATATACAAAATTAATCATAACTTTTAATAAATCTAATCTAATATATATAAATAAAGTAGGCATTTTTGGAGAGCATTCGGAGCACCACGTAAGAAATATACTTATTTCGACCAATAAGAAGAAAGATTTGTATTTTAATTTTGAATTACAAAAATATGTTGCCATCTAGATAAAAGTAACAAATTAGATTTGATATATCTAAAATTTTAATGCCACGTAGATTATAATCCACGAATTAAATTATTTTAGTGAAAAAAATTAAAGTAAAAATATAGGAAAAGATAAATTTATTAATTCAATACTACGAGTATAAGAAATCCAAAAAAAAAAACTAAGAAATATTTAAATGATAAACGCTTATAATAAAGTTTGATACCTATCATTATAAGATAGATTTCATAGTATTTATGATAAGAAATACAAATTGTAAAATTTGAGATACCTACCATTATAAATTGGCACATCATACGACACAAACAAAATTTCGTATCAATAAAAAACCCCATCAAGCGAATTTTGCGTTAGTAATTTTGTGTTAATTTTTGGTCATCAATGTACGGGTAATTTTCTGTTTAATTTTTAAAATCCTATGTTTAAATTAGTATTTCTAATTATTACTTACAATGTATTAATTTGGGATACTTAACGATTATATATTTATATGTTTATGTTTTATTTACTAAATGTTTTTTTACATGCAGATCTAACACATCATACGACACAAATAAAATTTCGTATCAATACAAAACCCAATCAAGCGAATTTTGTGTTAGTAATTTTGTGTTAGTTTTAGGTCATCAATGTCCGGGTAATTTTTAAAATCTTATGTTTAAATTTATATTTGTAATTATTAGTTACATTGTATTTATTTAGGATACTTAACGATTATTTGTTTATGTCGCCATCTAGATAAAAGTAATGAACTAGATTTGATATATCTAAAATTTTAATGCCACGTAGATTATAATCCATGAATTAGATTATTTTAATGAAAAAAATAAAGTAAAAATATAGGAAAAGATAAATTTATTAAAGTATAAGAAATCCAAAAAAAATATATTAAAAAATATTTAAATGATAAACGCTTATAATAAAGTTTGATACCTATCATTATAAGATAAATTTTGATAGTATTTATGATAAGAAATACAAATTGTTCGTTAACTATAATTAAATTAAAATTTGTGATACATACTGTTATAAATTGACACATCATACGACACAAACAAAATTTTGTATCAATAAAAAACCCATCAAGCGAATTTTGTGTTAGTAATTTTGTGTTAATTTTTGGTCATCAATGGCCGGGTAATTTTTAGCTTAATTTTTAAAATCCTATATTTAAATTAGTATTTCTAATTATTACTTACATTGTATTAATTTGGGATACTCAACGATTATATGTTTATGTTTAATTTACTAAATGTTTTTTTACATGCAGATCTAACACATCATACGACACAAATAAAATTTCGTATCAATTCAAAAACCCATCAAGCGAATTTTGTGTCAGTAATTTTGTGTTAGTTTTAGGTCATCAATGTCCGAGTAATTTTTAAAATCTTATGTTTAAATTTATATTTGTAATTATTAGTTACATTGTATTTATTTAGGATACTTAACGATTATTTGTTTATGTAATGACATACGATTAGATGTTGTATACTTAATATATGGATGACTTTAGTTATTTTTGGAGATGATGAAAAAATTCCAATGCATAGATTTGATTTTATATCGCAACAATTTTTCATTTATTGGTAAATATACTGATTTATTTTGTATAAGTATAAAGATTTAATTTATATCAATTTCAGTTTGACTAACATAATTTATCCATTGATGTAGTTGGTTGGTTGTGGACGAGGTTGGTGATTCTATCAAAATAAAAGATATGGTAAAACAATGAATAATGATTTAGGATTTAAATTATTAAAAATTTATCATTTCACATTAAAGATTTTATATAATGGAAAAAATATCATATTTACAATTTATTTATATTTAATAAATTCATTATAAATTATAGTAAAAATAAATAAATATTAAACTTTTGTAATTTTGTCTGAATTATTAAATACAATAAATCAAATAATTAAAAATCTTAGATGAAAAAACCGTGCATAGCACGGGCTTTCATCTAGTATATATAAATAAAGTAGATATTTTTCCAGAGTATTTGGCGTGCCACATAAGCAAAGGTATTATTTCGACCAATTAAATATTAGATTTCTATTTTATTTGGAATTAATAAATTCGTTTGCCACCTAAAAAAAAGTGACGAATGAAATTTAAGAATTTTTCCACGTAAATAAAAATAACGAATATTGATTTATTAGGATTTAATTTATTTAAAAAACTAAAAATTATCTTTTAAAATAATCATCTTTAGATATAGGATTTATATACCTACTATTATAAGATAAATTTTGATAGTTTTTATGATAAGAAATAAAAATTATTCCTTAATTAAAATTAAATTAAAATTTGTGATCTTTACCATTATAAATTGACGCATCATATGACACCAACAAAATTTCGTATCAATACAAAACCAAACCAAGCAAATTTTGTGTCATTAATTTTGTGTCAGTTTTATTAGGTCATCAACGGCTGGGTAATTCTTAGCCTAATTTTTAAAACCCATGTTTAAATGTATATTTGTGATTATTTCTTAAATTGTGTTTGTTTGGGATACTTAATGATTATATGTTTATGTTTGTTTACTGAATTTTTTTTTTTTTTTTTTGCATGCAGATCTAATCTAATCAGATAATTATATTCGAGCACAAATCTTTGGAATATCAAAGTACGAGTTTCTCACCTAATGATCCTATTGGATGAGGAGGTATTATATCTTTATAAATCGTTTACATTTATTAAACCTTTTAATGAACCTTTTAGTTTTTAACAATTAATTTTATGATTAAAACAAATTTTTTGTGATTTAGGTACCTTAATTGAGTCATAAAATTAACTTAATTTTTTTTAATTACAGGGTGATTACGTTCATGGCTCAATTAAAGTCAACTTTGTTCTACAATTTTGTTCAAAATTGATTGAAGGAAAAGTTTACTCCATTAGATACTTTTCAGTCGTTACAAATTAGAAGTAATATCGCACGCATTGTCAGCGACAACAAAATACTGATTCAATTTTCCAAAATACTATTGTTTGGGCGATTGGGGACGATGAAAAAATTCCAATGCATAGATTTAGTTTTGTATAATTACAATTTTTAGATTAATTTCACAACAATTATTCACTTTCTGGTAAATATTATAATTTATTTTATAAGACTAAAGATTAATTTTATATAAATTCTATTTTTGCTAACATGTTAATTTATCTACTTTTATTAGATGGAAGAGATATGGGTGTGAACAAAGTTGGTGATCCTATCAAATTTTTTTTTTAATACAAATTTTTTTACATCGAAATATTACATCTAATAACTATTATTTTGAATGTTCTTATAAAAATATTTATTAGGTGATAAATTACATAAAATTAATAAAAAATTATCCTTAACAAACAATAGCAAAGTAATCAAAAATATTATGAGTATGATCTAATTACAAAAATTATTTTTATGAGATTTTATGTATTAAAAACCGTGGGATATTAGGATTTAAATTATTAAAAAAAGTAAAAATTATCTTATGAAATTAATGGTTTAATCTAAATACCCGATTAATAAGATGTTTTTTTCATAAAAAAAATTTAAAACTTATAATGCAATAAAAAACTTTTCCTTCTTTAAACATTTTATGTCTAAAAATTTGAAAAGACAGATAATATGGTATAGATCACAAGAAATATACAAAATGATATATAGATTTGAGAGTTTAATTTCAAGTGTAAATAGCAACGAATAATGATTTAGATTTAATTTATTTTAAAAATAAAAAATTATTATCTTTTCACATTAAAGATTTTATCCTAATATGTAATCAATGAAATATCATATTTACAATTTTTTTTTTTTGAAAGATATCATATTATGTCATATAACTAACAACAACGAATAAAATACAAAACAACAATAAATTAAGTCGCATTATAAATTACATTAAAAAATTATACTTTTGTAATTGGCAATATCATTTTAATTAGATTATTATTTGTTTTTATTTTTTGTCTGAAATTATTAAATTGTAAAATAAATCAAATAATTATAAATATATATATATATATATATATATATATATATAGAAAAATATATTTTCTTGAGATATATGTATGAAAAATTGTGCATCGCACGGGCTTTCATCTAGTATCGTATAACTCGGTTCTATTTCCATCATAAAA